GAGGGAGTTTGGAATTACTCTTTTGTTTAAGAAGACATGTTATTATGGATTTAGGTCATGAAATAGCTTGCTCCAGCAGGTCTATTTGGAGAAAAAGGTTGCAGTACAGGGTACATAGTACTCACTCATTAAATACTTCATTCACTTGTTCATTCAGTACTCTTGTTGAGTGACCATTTTGTGCCAGACTTATTCTAAGTGTTGGAATTAAGGCAATGAATGAAAGAGACAAAAATTCCTGCCTCATGGAGCTGTATTCCAGTGGAGAGTTAGACAACAAGTAAATAAACGAGCAAAATATATATCACCTCAAATGGTGATAAATGCAACGGAGAACAATTAAGCTCAGAGGAGGGATGGTATTTGCTGGAGGAATGAATGAAATGCTCTGACGAAAAAATAAATCAGAGATGCATAATCCTGTCATTTCAGTTAATATTTAGGGACACTATGTTGAATTGAAGAAGAGCAGGAATGAAGCCTTGATTCTGGAATTTCTTCCTTGTCATTGTGGACAATTTATTAGGCAGCGCTTCCTGTGTGAGACACTGCAGCGGGCTCAGAACCTACCTAAAGCAGAGAAAGTTTACTTTGAGCTCAAATCTCTCATTTGCATGGGTGCTCATGCACCTTAATTCACAACAGTACTTTCTGTGTGTTTGCTCATTTTGAATGCAGAGAACTGTGGATGACAGATCTTGGGGGCTTTTTGCTGCCTTGATATAACTGATAATAAAACAGAAAAAATGGAGGAAACCAACTCAGACGCTGCCTCACAGTACAGATACAGATGCATGGTAAAATTAGCAATTCTATGGACCTGCCAGGGACCCATGGAATTTCTCCAGCTCTCATTCTACCAACCCCAGACCCCTGTAGCTGCCATTCTAGGCAGGCCCCTGAAAGGAAAGGAGAAAGAAGTGAATGAATGCATTAGTGCCCCAGACACTCTAAGACAGCGGTTCTCAACCTTCCTAATGCCGTGACCCCTTAATACAGTTCCTCATGTTGTGGTGACCCCCAACCATAAAATTATGTTTGTTGCTACTCTATAACTGTAATTTTGCTACTGTTATGAATTGTAATGTAAATATCTTTTTGTTTTCTGGTAGTCTTAGGTGACCCCTGTGAAAGGGTTGTTCAACCCCCAAAGGGGTCACGACCCACAGGTTGAGAACCGCTGCTCTAGGGGAATCTAACAGGTATTACCTTTGACAAGATTATCAGAAGGGAAGGATATGTGAGTTCATTTTCCATGCTGCGGCCTGGGAGAAACGATGCTGACCTACGGGTGGTGCTCAGGACTGTAAGTGACAGGTGGCTTGGTAGCAGCTGTCCTTCAGCCAGAGGAGTGAGGCATCTTTGGAGAACGGTCTGGAAGCTGAAGTTGCAACTGGTGTTTTTAAAGCAGGGGAGGTTGAATTGAGAGATGGAAGGAGTTAGATGCCCCCACCCCAACCGCTTCTTCAGGGGACTGGCCAAGGAGTCAAAGGCAACATCTGCACCACACAGATGACTGGACTCCACATACTTGTTCCCAGCTGTTCTTTAACTCCAATATTGTTATAAATGATGTATTTCTTTAGTATATTCCACAGCTTCTACTCCAGTGCCAGGACAGGCAGCCTTCGACTCAGATCCAGTTACTCAGATCCAGTTCCTGGCTCTGCTTCTATAACCTCAGGTAAGCTATCCAGTCTCTCTGAGACTCAGTATCCCCAAATGTAAAATGGAGCTGACAATCACGGCCTCATGGGGTTGTCATAAGGATTAAGTGAGTCCATGCCTAACAAGTGGCTATACTCAGTAATTTAGTTTACTTTCTCCTCATTGATTCCACTTTATATTTGCTCTTTTCTACACATAGCATTTATTGAATAGCTTCTATGTGCCATATGCTTACTTACTGTCTATCACTAGCATTTTGCAAGAACACTGTGAAGTTGGAACTCTTATTATTGTCACCATTTCAAGGATGAAGAGATATATTGGGTTGTCGCAAAAGTCATGATGTATTTTTCCTATGTTTTTCATTGCAAAAATGCGTCAGGGCATTTCTGACAACCCAATAGATGGTTTTAGATGGAAAAGTGAAGCTTATGTCAGAATCACAAAATCTCAGAGCTCGAAAACATCTGAGAGGTCATCTGGGAACCACTCTTCCATTGTCCCAGTTTCTTGACAGATGGTTACAGGGCATCAGTTTGAACAGGCCTGGTGATGAGGGCATAGCCCCTGTTGTTCCTTATTTCTAACACATCCTGGAGACAGCCTCCTCTCAGGTTCCCCCAGCCCCATGAATCACATGCTGTGTCCTCTAGCACAGACCCCTGAGTCTGAAACCTGTCATCCTCCCTTATCAGCAGTGGTACCTTGGGCAAGTGTTTTAACTTTTATGTGCTTTAGTGTCCTCATTAGTAAAAAGGGGATAATAATAGAAAATGCATCATAGGGTTGTTGATGGATTCAATGATCGGACACATGTAAAATGCTTAGAGTGTCTGGCATATAGTAAGCACTCAACAGATGTTAGTTGTTATTACAGCTAAGATATAGTTTTATGGATCTGTCCAGATATTTTTCCTCCTCCTCCTCCTCAAAGACATTTTTCCCAGTCTCTCTCAGAGGACCCATTGGGTCTCTTCCTAAGAACCAGTCTTGCAAGGCTTATAAAACTCTGGTACCAAAACTTTGACAACATCTGCATAACAAGTTTCCAAATATCATTTTTTCCCCCAAAGTCATGATTTCAAACTGGGAAAAGAATTGTACCCTTTCAGTTTTGGAGATGCACTCCACCTTTCTGCCTAGCGTTGGTTCAAAGAACAATTGGATATGAGTAGCAGGCAGTGGGCTAGATGAGTCATGATAGGGCCTATGTAGTAACTTGGATACATCCTAGGAAGGTTGGGTTCAAACTCCCTTCCCAGAATGTAGGGCTCAGGGTGCCCTTTCTGGATGGGGACCTGGGAATCTGATTTTATCTGAGGGTTGAGTCAATGTTCAGAGTCTTGAGACAGTTCAACTAAAGAAACCATCCAACAGGGTAGGACAGAAAGGGGAAAAGTCAGGTACAGGCTTATGTTGGAATCAGGACCCTAAGACAGAATGAGTGGGTTTGAGATGGAGTTGAAAAGACAGATTCTCTGGAGGGTTGGAATGTACCTGTTTGGGGGGGATAAATGATAAGAACTCATGGGGACTCATGGCTAAAATGCACAGAACAATTATACATTATAACTATATATATTACATATATGTAGTATATGTATATATAGTGCATATATACATATGCATATGTTCTATAAATAGTTATCTATCATCTATCTATCTATCTATCTATCATCTATCTATCAATCTATCAACATCTATGAAAGGTCAGGCAGACTCATGAGAGGTGGGAAGATTGGGAACACTCTTGGTTGAATAATGAGGAGCCCTGACTGGAACTGACTGTGTGTCTGGCAAGCTTGTTAGCCTTTTTGTACTTCTATGGAAAATAGGATGTTTGATTGGAAGGGTTAGTTGGAGAAAGCATTCCCTAGACCAGGGGTCAGCAAACTGAGGCTCGCGAGCCACATGTGGCTCTTTGGGTATGTACATATGGCTCTGAGGTAAAATTGAAAATGAAAATAAAACTATCATAGTTTCATTTATAAATTTTTTTTAAAGATTTTTTTTTTATTATTGGGGAACTGGGGAAGGGGAACAGTATTGGGGAATCGGGGGAAGGGGAACAGAAAAGTTGCTGTCCTTTTGTTCTTCAGTCTAGTTGTGGAGGGCATCGCTTCACTGGCCCATGTTGGTATTATCATTGCGCTCTTCCCGGGAGAGGCAGATTGGTCGCTGGCCTCTGGACAGCTGCTCATGATGGCTCTTGGCAGCTTACACCGACTGCCAGCCACTCACGCTGGCTGCCGACCACACATGGTAGCTTATGGTAGCCCACTGCAGCTTCACTGTAGCCTACGCCATTGCCAGCGACTCACGGCAGCCCAGCTCCAGGTCGAGCTGTTGTTCACCATCTTCGCTGTAGAGGTCAGTGTCACTGGCCCTCACATGGAATCCAAACTGGGGCGCTGCTGCTCAGAGCTGGTGTTCCAAGTCAGCTCTTAACCAATGAGCCACTTGGCCAGCCCAACATTTATAAAATTTTTAAAGGATACTATTCACATAATGATGATTTCATTTGTTTTATGGCTCTCAAATAATTTTTAAATTGTTGTGAGGGACAGGATTGGCTCTTCTGTTTCAGAAGTTTGCCAACCCCTGCCCTAGACATTGCTCAAACTAGTCTAATGAGGCTTTGAAAAAATTTATTTTAAATGAAAAATGTATTTTTTCAACTTTATTGAAGTGTACTTGATGTGCAATAAACTGTACATATTTACAGTGCACCATCTGATGAATTTTGATATCATTATCATCCATCACCATAATCAAGTTACTGAACATATCCAAAAGTTCCAGTGAAGTATTTTACAAGATGAATGGTAGGTTTTCTAGACAAGGCCAGAAGAAAAGCCACAGGTGCAGCCTCAGAATAGGTTGTCAATCATCTAAGTCTGGGAAAGTACATTGTTTAAGATAAAAGTGAAGTTTAAATTGAGCCATCCACGGAAGGATAAAGAAGAAATTCTCCATGCTTTATTTCTAGCACATATAGAAAAAAAGAGGTAGAGATAGAAGGGAGGTCAAAAGGCCATATTCAGTCAGTAATCATCAAAACAATACAGAATGCTAGATATTGAGTTTTGCCCTTCATGTTGGACAACATGACAGGCAGTGCATACACTTGATGCTGAAAGAAGGGGGTGTCCCTTCCTCCTCAACCCCCTCTTCTAGAACAGCTAGATTCACGGTGTATATGGTTGGGGAGAAACTAGATATAATTTAGTCATACTCTGGAAAGTGGCTTTTTAATCTATGCCATACCCTAAGCTCTGTGGGTGTGTGGTCAAATCTTTTATGAAGCTCTAAGAAAACAGTTAGGAGTGTACAGTGAATGCTACGACTCCTGACTTCGGCTCTATCTCTCCTCTTTCCTGTCCCATACTGGGCCACGCCTCTCTGACCACCATGGGAACGCATGGGGAGGACATGAGTGATGGAGCCTGAAGGAAAGGCAGGAATGCCAGCCTCCTCTTAAACGATTTATTCAAGAGAAAATTCTGATCTTGTTGGCACTGCTGTTCTACATGGATCTCTATGGTTTTCGAGCTGCTCAGAAGTGGGCCTGCAGCAGGGTGGTAGTCACAAGCACAGTAGTAAAATCCTTCATCTTTTTCTGATGCTTTAAGTATCTCAAGTACGGCCTGGTTGTCTGAAGCATCAATTTGACTTCGGAACCTGTTCTGGAAACCAGGGCCATACAAACCCCCGTCTCGGTATATGAAAGCCATTGTGCTGTCCTGGGTCTTCCTGTACCAGTTGTAGTAGTAGTTAGTGAACGTTCCTCCTTCCATGGAGCATCTGAAGGTGGCAGACTCTCCCACGGACACAGTCACTGCTTGGTCTTGAGGCACCAACACCAAAGCTGCTGTTGCTCCTGAGAGAAAAGACACAAGAGGGGCTCAGTGAGGACTGGGGCTGAGGTGACTGAGTAAAGGGCACTGTCCGAGAGTGCCAGGCTCTAGCAGCCTTGATGCCTTGTTGTTACTCAAGTCTTGCTTGGTTGAGGTTCCAGGATTTGCCTTACCTGCCCAGAAGAGGGTGAGATGGATGGAGGAGCTGATTCTTTGCATGGCTCCACTCAGTGGCAGTTCTGCCTCCCAACTTCCTCTCTGCCTGGTCCCTCCCCTGAATCAACTCTTCTCTGTGACACATTTCTGCCTGAGGAAACCAGCCTGTGACAGCTGCTGTTCTGTTCCCCAAGAGAGGTTTTGCCAATCACAGGAGGCTTGCAGAGCCTGTTGCCTGCTGATGGGATGACAATACCACCTTCAAGATTGATAATACGATCCAGATAAGTAAGGTCAATTGAGAAAAGGTGAAAGCAGCTTTATTTGATTGATAACAAGGTTCTGCTTCCCACCCTAGAAGTTAAGTTTGATATTGTGGCTCCATTTTCATATTAGATGTACTTGTACGCTCTATGGTGATGTTACAGTGAATGCCAAGAAGAATTATTGACATTTACAGCTGTAATCAAAAGAACCATCAAACGAGGAGATCGATAGTATGGACTATGGGTGTTGTAATGATGTGTTTACTACAAACTCCCTCCAGGCAAAGTTGGATAAGGGTGATTCACCCAAGTGTAAAAGAGCAAGCCGATGAAGTATTGTCTCCAAATTTGAGCCAGTTTCCTGATCTTTATTGAGCTCATCTATCTTATTTTTTGAAGATAGGTCACCTTTGTTGAATTACACAGAGCAAAATGTTATGAAAAACTTAGAAACCACTATTACATTTCAGTTTATGACAGCCTAATTATTTTTTATTTTTATTTATTATTTTTAGAGGTTTTTATTAAAATATAGCTAACATACAATATTATATTAGTTTCACATGTACACAATTGTTTTTCAACATTTATATACCTAAAGAAGTGATCACCATAAATCCAGCAACCAACCATCTGTCACTGTACCACACTATCACAATATTATTGACCTTATTCCCCATGCTGTGCATTACATTTCCATGATTTATTTGTCTTATACCTGGAAATTTGAACCTCTTATTCCCCTTTGCCTTCCCCCGTCCCCTTTTTAATTTTTCAATTACAGTTGACATTCAATATTATTTTATAGTAATTTAAGGTGTATAGTATAGTGGTTAGACACTTATACAACTTAAGAAGTGATCCCCCCAACTCTAGTACCCACGTGGCACTATACATACTTATTACCATATTATTGACTATATTCCCTATACTTTACATCCCCGTGATTGACAATTTTGTAACTACCAATTGTATGTCTTAATGCCTTCACCTTAGTCACCCTGTCCCCCAACCCCCCTCCCATCTATCACCCCAATAAATCTAGTACCCATCTGACACCATACACAGTTATTACAATACTGACTGTATTCCTTATGCTATACCCTATGTCCCCATGACTACTTTGTAACAACCAATTTGTATTTCTTAGTCCCTTCCCCTTTTTCATCCATTCCCAACTCCCCTCCTTTCCAGCAACCATCAATACATTCTCTGTATCTATGAGTTTATTTCTATTTTGTTTGTTTGTTTATTTTCAGATTTCACATATAAGTGAAATCACACTGCATTTGTCTTTCGCTTATGACAGGCTAAATTTATACATTTTCAAAAAGGAGATATGCTTGAACTTTTGGGACCTATACTTTTAAATTTCAAGACCAGTAACCTATGAAATTTTGAAATCAAACAGGTAAATTAATAATGGAAACTAGAGGGTGTCTCATAGTTCTGGAGGCTAGAAGTCTGAAATCAAGGAGTCAGCAGGGCTGTCCTCCCTCTGAAACCTGTAGGAGAATCCTTCCTTGCCTCTTCCTAGTCCTGGCAGTTTTTGCTGACAGTCTTTGGTGTCCTTGGGCTTGGTTTGTGGCTGCATCAGTTCAATCCTTGCCTTCCTGGTTACACAGTGTTCCCCCTGTGTCTGTCTTCACATGGCTGTCTTCTCAAAAGGATATCAGTCCTATTGGATTAGGGGCCCACTCTACTCCAGTACCACCTCATCTTAACTAATTACATCAATTGCAATGACCCTATTTCCAATAAGGGCACTTTCTGAGGTGCTAGAGGTAAGGACTTCAACATTTTTTTTTGAGGGACACAATTGAGTCCATAACTCCTGCCCACACCTTTGTAAATGTCCCTTTCATTAGATTCTCTTGAATCAGTCCTTTGAGAGTACCTTCTGTCTCCTGCTGTGACTGCCTGATATACCAGGTATAGACGGCATGTGTAGGGAAAAGACATGTGAAAAAAAAAAAAAAGCCTTGAGGCAGAAGGAAGTGCTGTGGGCTTAAAGCTGCAAAAATATTAAAAGAATGGTGAGCAGGGCTCAAAGAAGCCTGTCTTCCTACATACAATAATTACTATTGTTTATGGCTGTGATTTATCTGCCACAGGTTAGATGTAATTTTAGGAGTTTATTGTAAATAGACAAAAACAACATTCCTCTAGGGCTGAGTAGGACAGAGTCAGTATAAACAGTGAGTCAAGCCAGGGATAGAAGACAGTAGTAGGAAGGGAACCAGTTATGGTCCAGTGGATGCTTAGGGCAGAGCATGGCTAGAAGACATGCCATGCCCGGTCTGGGAGTCAGGACCTGCCCAGACACCTTAGCCTAAGTCTGTGGCAGGAACAAGATGAAACTTGAACACAAATGTAGCCTATCTTGGGGTGCTCACATGGAAGGTAGAAAAATGTGTCAGGTTCCTGCCCTCGGACTCCACCTTTCTCAGGTTCTGTGCAAGCTGTGTTCCTTATGCTCAGTCATTCTTTCTGTTTCAAGGCCAGCAATTAGGCCATGACTTTCCATGACCTGGGGGATGTTTGTCCCTTCGTGTGACTTCCAGGGAGAACTAATGTTTCTTTACAGCCTGTATGGAATAAATGAAATTATATTTGCAAATGCTTGGCTCATTGCTCGACTATTTGTTAGTTTCTTTCTTCCTTAATGTCATTATAATGATATTTATATGTAAAAACAAGGATACTTGAGACTTGAACAGTTAGTAGGAGAAGCAAGAGTGGTTTGGGGTGCTTTATCCATCCTTCCCCAAATCTCCATCAGCTTCCCATTTTTTGATGCCTGCCCAATCTTATGTGCTATGAAAATACAGCCTCAAGGCAAATTCCTGAAGCATCTTCCAATGAGATTACCACCCCTCACACCCTTTTTTGGAGAAATTCTGAAGTTGCCTTTGTATATAGTGCTTTATGGTGTCTAAGTGCTGTCTCACACTTGTTATTTGGTCTGTCTTTACCTCCTGTGTAAATGAACCTTGTTGAATCCATACTGCTCCTCAAAAGTGCTCATTGAAGTGAAATGATTTCTTCTGCCCACAGGATGTCTGATTGAATGTGAGTTGCTGTCTATAACATACAAGGAGAACAAAGGAAGACCAGTGAGGAACTCATTCCCAAGATCATGGCCGCAAGGTTTTTGGCTTGTGGCTCTAAAGATAGACCATATGTTTACAAGAACTTCTGTTCCCTTCAGCCTTATCAGACAGAAGAGGGTTAAGAAAGACACTGCTGACCCTCATGCATAAACTGCCATGAGCACTGTTTGCTTTTCTGTTAGTGTAAGATTTCTAGAGATGGCTGTAAGGCTAAGGTAATGAATATTTCATTTTCAGGGCCAGGGTGCTGCTCGGGGGTCTCAGGCAAATCAACCTATGGGTTACATGACAATGGAGGAAGATCTGTCTATTGGCCTCATTGAGAACAGAAGGAAGAATGAAAGACCTGAGGATGTTAGGGACATTAGCAAGCCGTCAAATCTGTGTTTCAGTCTTCATTTTCTCATAACCTCAAGCAGAGAGCTGTTTTTCCTGTTCTTTGAGTGCGTTCCTTGAACTTATCCTCCATTTCTTTGAATTTGTACAGGTTGCTGAGAGCAGGCAGCTGGGTCACCCTGCCTCTGCTCAGACAAGCCTCAGACACGACACTATCTACAAGACTGGGCTGGATGGGGTCCGGGAACTCAGGGGTCCTCTTTATTTACAGCCTTCTCTAGTTTTCAAGAGGCAGTTGTGCTGTAGTGGAGAGATCACTGGACTTAGGCTTGGAAGATCTGGATTTGCTTCTGACACCACCACTTACTTGCAAATCACTTGACCTCTGCAGGCCTCGGTATTATAAACAATAAAATAGGGATAACATTGCCTCATGTAGTCATAAAATAATGGACATGAGTACACCTTGTGATTGATCTACTGTTAGACTGGCACTGAGGGTCAGCTGACTGGTGTAGAAGGTGGAAAGGGCAGGCTTTGGTTGGTGACCTGCCTGAAGGCACAGGAGTGACGCCGTGGGTAGGGCAGTGCAGTAATAAGTCCCCTTAAACAGTGGTTTCAAGAATCTCCAGGAGAAATGGCCTTTATGAGTCAAGTTGCTCTGGAGACCAGGGGCATAGACATCTCCATGTTGGTATGTAAGGTTTGGGGAGCCATCTTGGTTTCTGTTATACCCCTATATGGTATGATTGTTCATTCCCTACCATGTCATTTGGCACTGCAGAATTTTGCTTCTTCTGAAAGGAACCAACATCTCTTGTTGCTCCAACAAGGCGTCTGGTTTGATTCTTGAAAAACAAAATCAAGGTAAAAGGAAGACAGAGAAACTGAGGAGCTGTATCAGAGTATCAGGGGTCTGAGGTACCAGTGTGGGGTTATAGAGCCGCCTTCCATTTCAGTCTTCCCACCAACTCTCCCAGAGTAATTTCATCAGGGGAGTCATTTAGTCATTCACCCAATGATTGGGCAACCACCCTGGAGTCTATGATGTGCTCAGTGCTGGGCTGGGCTCTGTGGCGGTGACAATGTTTTGGGCTCTCTGGGGCTTACCTGGCCCAGGAGCTGCAGGGCCTGAAGTTCTGAGGCTCCAAGGCCTCTCTCACCTTTGCAGCCAGACAGCAGGAAGAGGAGCAGGCAGACCCACTGCGTGGTTTTCCCCAAGGACTGAAGGGCTCTGCTTCTGAAACTGTCTCCTGGCCCTTTTGTATTTTCATCTCAGCCCTCAGAGTCTCTGACTGGCCTGTGTACTCTTGGGCTTGCCAGCAGACAATGAGGAAATGAGCCTGACTCAGCAGATGTTCTGCCCCCAGAGAACAGCCTCACCAGTTGTACAGATGGTGCGGGGCGGTTTTTTTTTTTGTTGTTGCCAATGGCAGCATCTCCCTCCTAAAGTGAGGCCAACATTTTAGCAGGGGAGATGTTGATATTTAGCTTCACACAGCTTTTAATGGTTTTATCCTCCCTGTTTGTGGAAGTTCTTTTTATTTTTTTTGTTGCAATATATTTGTTTTGGATCTTTTATCTATAGATCAAGAGAGCCGTTTCCTAAGAAGGGTGATAGAATTTGCCAAACTGCCACTCTTCCATAGGACAAGAGCCCATAACTGTCACACAGAATTTAACAGAAAATACTATTGCATTGGATGTAATTCTTAGTAGCAGTTAAATGCCTACTATAGTACTCTGCCCATATCAAGCACCCCCTAAATGTTGATGCTAGACTAAAGAAAACACAACACAAAATAAACATAATGGGAAGATGAAGTAAGTGGAGTGGGCATTGAAAATTAGATGAGCAAAAGCAAAGTTAAAGCATGGAAAAAGGTTTAATGGAGTATTATAGAATTATCTATTGAAAGAACAAAGTAGAACAAACTAAAAATAACAAGGAAATATAATAGCTTAAGAGAGGAGTGTGGAGACAGAGAAAAGCTGGAGAGGTAATTAGGACAATT